GGGGGGTGGGGGGTGGGGAGGAGACAGGGAGATGAAAATAGTATCCAAAAATCTCTCTACAAAGAGATACCCACTGTAAATCGGACATGGTAATGCATACATTTAATCCCAGTACTTGAAAGGTAAAGACAAAAGAATCAGGAGTTTAAGGCCAGTCTGGGCCATCTCAAAAATAAACAGAAAGCCAGGCAGTGGTGGCACATGCCTTTAATTCTGACACTCAGGAGATAGGGGCAGGTGGATCTCTGTGAGTTCAAGGCCAGCCTCATCTACAAGAGCTAGTTCCAGGACAGCTAGAGCTGTTACACAGAGAAACCCTGTCTCAAAAAAACAGAAAAAATAAAAAAAGACAGAGAGAGAGAGAGAGAGAGAGAGAGAGAGAGAGAGAGAGAGAGATCCTTTCTTAACCATTTAACAAATGTAAAGAGGTTTGCAAACTTAGTCTGTTGTGGAATGTGCCTGTAATCTCAGCCCTCAGGATCATGAGTTGGAGAATCAAAAGTTCAAAGCCAGGGCTAAAGAAACAGCTGAGCTGTTAAGCATGCTGGCTGCTTTTCCAGGGGACTGAGGTTTAATTCCCAGCATCCACATGGTGGCTTAGGACCATTTGTAACTCCACTTCCAGGGCATCTAGCACAGGCACCAGGCATGCAAGTGATGCACAGACATATATGCAGACAAAACACCCGCATTCATAAAGAATTAAATTTTTTACAAGTTCAAAGCTAGCCTGGGCTATAAACTAACACCTTCTCTTAAAGGGAGAATAAAGTAAAAATTTGCATGATTTCCCGGAGGTTGCCATATTTTTGACATTTGTATGTGCATTCAATAAAAATATTTTATTAAATATTTATTTGAATTCTTTTAAATTATACTGTTCAATACCCACTTTCTTCACTCGACAACATGCTGTAGACTTTCCCATATGAATAAACACAGAACTAATTGTGTTTATTAGCCTCATGACAGCTATTGCACAATGTTCTGTAACTAAACCTTCTACCAAATACTAAAGGTAATGATGTAAAGGCTACACCTCCATACCCTTGTCTAATGGTTTCATTGGGGTGAATTATTAAAAGTGGGATACAAGCATTTAGATTTTCTTAGTCCTTTTTAAAGGAGTGTTTCCCCCGACATTAACCATACAGTAGCAGCATAGGGTCATTATGGTTTTACTCCTTGTTCTGGGAAGTAAAAACACTGCAGAATAGGGAATTTGGACAATTCTAGGGGAAAGTAGCTGCTGGCACTGGATGAGTCAATGTTTAGATTTGCTTAAAAGTTGATTGGCTCAGAGTGATCTGTGTTGGGCTGATGGCAACGATAAAGGACTGGTCCAGCCAGGGCAGTCAGTTTTGCTTCCCTGTCCCATGGGCTGGCTCACCTCTGCTCCCAGACCCTTCTAAGTTTGAACTGAGGCTAGGATCTTGCTCATCAGCTTGCTCCAATGTTCTTTGTCACTCACTCTTAGACAAAAACGTTCAATGCAGGCTAAGCCATGGGCCCCAGGAAATTGAGTGACTACCAAAACCTGGCTAGCCTGATCTAAAGAGCTGTCTCCAGAATGAGGTACTCACCATATCCTCAGGGTCTGGAATTTTCACCCCACTGAAGTACTGATTCATGCTAAATACTTGCTGGTGCCTGGGAATGAGATCCCCTTTGGACAAGAAGAGACAGAAGTAAGTGGGATTGCGTAGGACACATGAGGCTGTGCCTTTCCTCCACAGCAGAGTGGACCTGTGACTCCAGCTGCTAAGGTTCCATGAGGAGGGGCATCCACACAGCACAGCCTACACTGAGCTCTACAGGGACAGAAATTGAAGGCTGCAAGGTTCTTGCCCCAGTGAGCTTACAATATATTTGAACACTAAACCATATGAACCAATGGAAGGTCTTCTGTCTGTAAGAAACCATCTTTTCCTGTTTCACTGATCAATTGGAATCAATTGGAAACTTTGTCATCTACTGTTTAGAAGCACTTACAGCATGAAACACTGAAACAGAGTTTCTAGATTGCTGTTTAAGGACACTCATCATGTAGCCATGGCAGCCAAATGAGCTGGCAATGTCTTCAAGTAAAGTCCTAGGGATGTAACTGAGAAAGACTTCTCTTGAGAAAATATAATGAGGTTCTCCTTCCCTGGAGCACAGATGGCCACTTTATAAGGTAGAGAGGAAGCAAAGGCCTTTACCCAGGAGCCTATGGTGCTGTCACGGAACTGCCCCCAGCTCTTAGGTAACTAAGGCTAAGATTGTGCAGAGTCACTCGATTTACAAGTTTACCTCGCACTCAAATCGAGAACCTTCCTCTATTGTAGACAAGCAAGCAAAAATATAGCCTCTGGGATGATGACTCATATGTCTGAAAATGCTGTAATGAAACCCCTTAGCTTTAAAAATTAATTACATGTATGTGCATAGAGGAGACATATATCCCTGTGCCCTCCCAGCCTCTCCCACCAAGGCTGGAGTGACATGAGGAGAGTGCCTTAAAGCCACAGGGGGAAACAGACAAAGAAGTCTCAGTGGTCCTGCATGAGCTCCAAGGAGGCTACAACGTACAAGATATTGGTGGCGATATTAAAAGTAGGAACCACAGTCTCACCCGCAGGTCGCTTTCAGTACTTTGGGAAGACAAAGTTGTGTGGTTATTGTTGATACATGAGTTTATGCAGCAGAAAAATTCTGCTTTAAATTGGGATCCTTAGAACAGCAGAATCTAACCCCCTAGATTTTGAAAAGAGCAGTCATTGCTTATGGATTTCTTAAGTGTCCCTCCCTTCCTTCTTCTGTCCTTACTATTCCCCTTAATGCTAGAGGAAGACAAAAATAAAAATAGAAATGAAAATGGCACAAGAAAAAAAATCAGCCTTTCGTCTTGATGCTTAGGAGGCCTAGGCTCTTCCTCTACTACAAAGTCTGAATAATCCAAAACTTGTCAGGCAGGCTGCAGTCAAGAACATCTAAATGAATCACCATATCCCAATACAGGTTTGGCATCCCTAATTAGAAAATCTGAAACCGAGCACCAACATGATACCACAGGTAGAAAATTCCATACTTGACATCAGGTGACCAGTCACAGTCAACACATGGGCACACTAAAATGATTATATAAAGATGACCTGCAGGATATGTGAATAAGTGTAAATGAAACATAAATGAATTCTGTGTTTTGACATGCCATCGAAATCTCCAAAATCATCAACACTTCTAGTCCTGAGCACTCTGGATGAGGGAATATTCAGTTTATAAGTGAAATCAGCCTCCCAAGTGGTCTGTGACCAGTTAAGTTCTTGTAGGGTTTCTGTTACCATGACAATGCTTTTGGAAGCTAACTGGATCCAACCTAAGCTCAAGAGATAAGTCTTTATCTTCTGGATAATTAGTAAATCCTTAGGAATCATTCATTATTGTTATTTGAATAAACCCTGGACACTTTGAATGGGGCCATTTCAGTGAGGCTCTGACGTCCTCGTGTTGGTGAGCTGTGACTGTGGCACTGTCATGGTGAAAGCGAGGCAGTTCTTGAAACGTCAGGACAGAAATACCACTTACCCAGGGTTTTCCTTATCAGATAGAGCTGATCCACGTCAGATTTTCCTGGCCACAGAGGCACTCCGGACAGCAGCTCAGCAAAGACGCAGCCAATCGCCCAAACATCTACTGGGGGGCCATACTGTGTGTCCCCCACCAGCAGCTCAGGCGAGCGGTACCACCTGGTGGCCACATAGTCTGTGTAGTAGTCACCTGGTCCAGCTGGCCAGTGAAGGAACATGGAAAACAGAATAGTGGAAGCTGGGAAATCCAAACTGAGAGGGAAATGCCTAAGAAACAAAGCTTATAGCTTTTCAGGGCCACTGTTCTCAAGGCTAGCTGCTAGTTAAAATCACTTGGGATTTTCATAGGGATTTTCAAATTACTGATGCTTTGGCCTCATCCCAATCCAACTAATCAGAATACTTGGAGAGGGCCTAACCAATACAGTTTTTAAAGTGTGTTAATCCTCATGTGTTAATCTGCAGTCAAGATTAAAAACCATCTAAAGTGTTACTTCTGGAAAGTGTTAGTTCAGAGTGGAAGGGAGGCCAGGGTAGAAATCAGATTAGCATGACTTACAATAACAACTGCGGTACCGTTTACATACAGCCCATGCATACGGTTCAGCCTATGCATACGGTTCCCATAGCCTACACATCTACACCATTGTGGGTTTGTACATTTTTCAAGTTATATCCTATTACAAAATTCTGCAAGAACCCTAATTTATAGCAAGGTTATTCCCTAGGCAGAACACAAGAACCAGCCTCCTGTAGTATCCAGATCAGCTATCATAGCAAGAATTTTTTTTTTTTTATACCCCAAAGACAGCATCAGTACTCACTGAGAAGCCGGGCAAACCCAAAGTCACAGAGCTTAATGACTGAGTGTTTTGTGATGAGAATGTTTTCTGGCTTCACGTCTCTATGTATGCACTGGTGAGGAAAAAAAAATTGAAAATTCGTGAAGGGGCAATTTCAATGTCTACCATGAGAAAAGGGAAGGAATATTTAGCAAATAATGGATACATCACTTTACTCTTTCATTAGCCTGTTGGATAAGAAAGCAACAGACGAAAATTAGTTCCATACCTATAGACAGAATCATTTTAAATTCCCGAAGGGCCCCCCAAAAACCAAGAAGTGCGACAGGACAAACCAAAGTTTGAGGGGCAAGACTCAGCAAATCAAAACATGTATGACACCCAGTTACATCTGCATTTTGGATAAAAGACTTTATTTTTTCAGTGCTGGGGATCAATCCAGGCTATCCATGCACTCCACCACTGACCTACACCTCCAGCCCAAATAATGCACCCATATCTCATACAGTATATATTAAAACAGGGAACTTCATCTTTAGCTGGGAGTCATACTAACCTGCTGGCTGTAGGTGAAGGGAAAAGGACTGAAAGGGCTCTGAGGCCCCCAGCCTGTGGCAGGCACTACAGACTGGTGCCTAAGCAGAGTTCACTGAAACACTGGGTAAACAGGACAAGCCCTGGGCCTGCTGAGATAAGCTGGGAAGATTGGGCGGGAAGCTGGAGCTTGCCAAGAGATCTCCCTTCCCGCTCTGACATTTGTCCTGACAAGATAAACAAGCGCGGGCTGCAGCCTCACCCTTTGGGGTGAGTCGCTAGATGTCAGCTCTGTCCCACATCGCGGCCAGTGCTCGGCGGCTGGCGGCTCCTGCCCGCCCTGTGTATGCCTCATCGCCTGGGATCTAGCCGCATTCTTTAACAGGGCGAAGCTACCCAGAGGGACTCTTGAGAAACTTCCCAGGGCTTTCTTATTCAGTGACAATTTCTTTGACAAAAAAAAAAAAAAAAAAGTAAATAAACCTCTTAACAACTTTTAACCAACGTTTATGTTTAAAAATTAAGTTGGGACAAAATATTCCTCTGGCTTCCTTGTGATCGTTCCTTTTTCCAAGGGTTTTCCTCTCTTCTGGGAAATGTCGGATCTTTCTGCCGCCCAAGAGACTGCTGGCCTGAAGCCTGAAACCCTTGGGGTTATCCTTGACTTCTGGAATCTGGAAAGAGGACAGAGGTTCCTCAAGGGATGCTGGGGGTGAGAGAGTAGCATGGTCTTTCCCCGCCAGCGTTTTCATTCTGGAAAGGTTGGCGGAGGGTTAAGTTATCCCATCTGCTTCTGAGTCTTCGATGGCGCTGGGGTCTGCAGTCCTTCATCAGCCATTTTAAATATTGCTATAAATAGGTCCTTCCATGAATATCATGATGACATATGGGCAGGGGGACTGGAAAACAAGAATGTGCCCTCACTCTGTTTGGGAATTCCTTATAGGCTTCTGCACCGTCCCCCTCAGCACTCCCTCCCCACCCACCCACGGCACACAGACAGAGTCTGGAGCTCTCCAGAGAGCTGTGGTATGCATTCTGTTTGTCTTCACTTCCTCAGAGCCACCAGGGCTGGCTCGAAGCTAGCTTTCTCATTCTCTCTCCTCTCTCCTCTCCCCTTCCTCTGTACTCCCCCTCCTGCCACTCCCATGCTGAAACTTGACTGTTAGGAGAGTGCTACCACCAATCACAGTGACTAGCCACGTGAAGTGCCCGTGCCTACTGTTGTAAAATGGTACCTTTTTTTGTTTGTTTGTTTTTTTACTTTGCAAGGCCTCATGCATGCTAGACCATGGAGTTCTACCCCAGCTCTGACAGAGATTCTAGGTTTCAGCTAATGAAAGTAAGATAATAGCTGTTCTCATATTTTCTCCTTGAAAAGTTTCAGAAGAAACTTACTTGGTCAGACTCATAGGAGATTTAACCCCTCAGGCTCGGTGACCTAGCAGTTGAGATGACAGATGGCTGCAGTCCAATTGTACTCATGGCTAGAATGAAACTCTAAAATTACTATCTGGGATTTTGTTTGTTTTTAGCAGTTGGAATCTGATTTTTTTTTTTCTTTTTCCTTTTTGCTATGTTGACTAATCGGTAAGTGCACTGATTGCAGTGCAGGGGATCAAACCCAAGGCCTCACCCATTCTGGGCAAGCACTCTACCACACAACTGTGTTCCCACCCAGAAAGCTGGCTTCCATGTGCAGGAAGTGGACAGCACTGTATGGGGTGGGAGATTGCAGCAGACTTTCAGCATCTATGAAGCCATGTCACCTGGGCAGTCTCACACTGTGACTCGCTCCAGCCCAGCTGTGGCTAGGAGAACCAGAGGCCCACTTTCACACTCTTATCTCACCAAAGCAGACCCTAGCACTTGTACTTTGGGCTTGGGACTCCACCCATGCAACTGCAGCTGACAGGGCATGAGGTGGCTGTGGTTGCTCCTCCCAATTTCAAAGCCTTTTGGGGAAACCAATCCATATGGACTCTCAAAGCAAATGAGGGTCTTCTGACCTCACATTTTACAAGTTTAAAAAACATGACTAGTTTCTTTAAATGGTTTTTTAAAATAATTTATTTAACTTAATTTTATGTGCATTGGTTAGAAGGTGTCAGATCCCCTGGAACTGGAGTTACAGACCATTGTGAACTACCATGTGGGTACTGGAAGTTGAACTCTGGTTCTCTTAACCACTGAGCCATCTCTCCAGTCCCTCAATGGTTTTTAAAATGTATGTCATAAGATCTGCATACAAACGGATAGATAAGCTGGGAATTTCAGTCTCTTACCCCGAACAGGCTGATGAAAAATTATACCCACCAAGGTGTGATATGAACTTTGAAGAAGGCTCAACTTTGGCTTAAGGAAAGCTGCCTGAGTTTTCAAAGGAGATCATGAGACTTACGTTGTGTTTATGGCAGAAATTTACAGCCTGCAGTGTCTGCCAAATTATGCTCTTCATGAGATGTTCTGGTACCCTAATAAAAACAAAAACAGCACAAACACATTCTTCACTCTAGCCATGGAATTCAACTCAAGAAACCCAATCCAATCCAGGGCAGGCTTTGGGACTGAAAAATCCCAGGAGACAGAATCCTCTTGACATACAGAACCCTCTCGGTCCACAAGTCTGGACTGTTAATAATGTGTGGCCAGCACACTGCTGGAATTTGAGGAAACCAAGTTAACAAAAATACAAACATGGATTTTTACAGAGGAGAATCATGAAAATCCACAGGGATTTCCACAAGTATTTATGTTCTGGGATTGCCTGTAACTTGAACTCCTCAGTTTCTTTCTTTGTTTTTTAAAGAGAGAGTTGAGGCATGGTCTTTGCTATGGTGGTCCCGACTGACCTAAAACTCCAGCTCATTCTGTGTTAGCCTCCACGTCATGGGATTACAGGCATGGGCCACCAAGCCCCGTTTCTGTAATGAGGACCTTGCTAATTAATATAAAGCTAGTCAATACACAGCACAAAAGACAACTTTGTGTCTTTGCTCAGGGTGCTCTAGACTATGGTCCTGAAGCCAGACTTGTGTATGCAGCATCTCCGGATGCCTGAGTTACCTGCTTCATTTGTTTTCTTTGAAGGGAGAGGAATGAGATTTTTCTGCGACAAGGAAGAGGTTTATGTGGCATACCATACAACTAAAGTTCAAAATAATTAAAGACACAGATAGTATCTTGTTCCCTTCCCCACACTGCACCTCTCTTCTTGCCAGCTGCATCACCCTGACATCTTTCTGCTCTTTCCTCTATCACAACATCTAACCATGCCACTTTCCCCATCTCTTCCTCACTGACTCATGACTGATTTAACCACAGTGGCCTGGAGCCCTGACAGACACTGTGTATGAATTGGAAAAAGGCATCTCATTGGGAAAGAAGCATTTCAAGTATGGGGCAAGGAGTGATTAGAAAAAGAGTTGCTTATTTGGGGGGACCACTCCCAGACACACACATGATGGACGTATTGTTTTTATGAATCAAAAATTAAATGTTGTTGTGGCCCTTGGCCAAAACTACTACGTAGACCGGGGGGAAATGCATGCAGCATTACATGTGATCACAGAAAGTCACTTCTAGCCCCTGGAAGAGGCCACAAGGCCACTGCTGTCATGGACCAGATGTGCAGGAAATCCTTTCAGGCAAATCAAAGGACGCTTGAACAGACACAGGGAGAGTGTGCCGGAAATGAGGAAGCCACCTCCAGGAAGAATGGCCAGGACGTTTTTGGATTAGGATTGTTTTCAGGCTTGCGGTAGCTTGTCACCAAATCCTCTTCCTTGTTCTAGCAACATGTAGGCACAAACACCAGGAAAACTCACCTATTAGGAAAATCGGCCTAGAAAAATACAAATAAGAAGTGGACTTCAAAGGCGCCCCAGCATCCATTTCTTGTTCAGAAAAAAAAAAAATGTAGTGTGTTAATTCAATGACTTTTTGACATGAAGTTGTAAGAAACTTCAGTCTCCAAAGATATTTCCCAAAATAAATAATGCAAAAGGAGTGTTGACAAGTGACTTATATCATTAATATTCCTGTAATGCTGAGCACACTATCACATACTTCTCACAAGTGACTTATATCATTAATATTCCTGTAATGCTGAGCACACTATCACGTACTTCTCAGTGTAGAAACTCTACAAACTACGAAGTGGCCAGCTCCAGAGCTCCTCTTTCTGGGGAGGGTGGGAGGGTGGACTGGAATCTGTCTGCTGTGGAAGAGTGTAGAAGAGAGCCACACTCCCAGGCCTCCTTCCAGTGTGGCTGCGCTGTGTTCCTTTTTGTTGTTTGGAAACAGTGGCTGACTTGGAACTCACTCTGGAGACCAGGCTGGCCTCAAACTCAGAGATCCTCCTGCCTCTGCCTCCCGAGTGCTGGGATTAACAGGTGGCTTCATTAACCAGCGGGTTCAAAATCTGAAAAGACTATTGGGAGGGGGGGGGACTGTAGAAAACAGGGCCTCTGTTGAAGGAAGGAAGTCACTGGGGGCATGCCTTGAAGGGTAAATGCTGACCCCTCCTGTTTCCTGGTTGCCATGAGACAAGCAGCTTTGCCCTGTCACAGTCTCCCCATCATGGCATTCTGCATCGCTTCAGGTCCCATACCACAGAGCCAGCCAACCATGAACTAAAGCCTCTGAAATAGCAAGCCCAAATAAGTCTTTCTTCCTAAACAACTGTTTCTCTCAGACATTTGTCACAGTGTCAAAAAGTCTAATGCAGACACACACACACCATGCACACACACCCCTATCTCCAACTATCTGCAGAGTTTTATCTGCCTTGCCTGGTTCAAGGGTCATACAAACTCATAACTCCCCCCCCATCTCTGTCTTAGAGACAGATGGTCATGAAGAAAGCATCTCATCAGTCCCTCACCCTCCTCATCTCCAGGGGCCCTGTCCCCTATTCTGGAGGAATGAATGTGTCACAGATAAGCCAAGAAGAATCTCAACAGACAGGTCTTGCTGAGTTCCCTATGCAGTCACTTAGCAACCATGCCTACTCAGTGGAGTCCCCTTAAGCACTGGAAAGGACAAAGGATGGGGTTGGCAAAGCCTGCAGAAACTTGTGGGTCTTCCTAGAGAGTAGAACATCTACAGAGGGCGTGGATTCCATACACCTTCTCTCATACTTTACCCTATATGTCTTTTCATCTGTATCTTTTGATTTTTTTTCTTTTGTAATAAAGCTGAAAATGTGAGTTAATGTTTCCCAGGGTTCTGTGTGTTGCTGGAGCAAATGACTCAAATTCAAGGATGAGGTGGGTCATGGGCATCCTGATTCAGGCAGTTGGTCAGAAGCAAAGGTATAATAACCTTGGCTGGGCATCTAAGCGGGGCAGGCAGTCTTGGATGGTTCAAGTCACGGACATGTGGGACTTGTTGCTGCCCTTGTGTAGACAGTGAAAGGACTGGATTAGATTAGGGGACACCCAGCTAAGCTACCTTCTGGTGCACAATTAATGACTTGCTTGTTACGTGGAGAGATTATATGACATTTGAAATTTCAGAAAGCTTCCGAGTTGGTTATGGTCTAAGAACAGAGGACAATGGGCCACCCATGAATAGTTACATTCCGTGCAGTGTCTCCATTGTACCATACCATGCAGCAGGAGCAACTACACTAGAGAAGCTTCGCTGAGTGCTACTTGCAAGCTGCTGAAAGAGCAAACATCAACAGGGAATGCTCTTTTCATTTAATATGTCATTTCTGAAGGGTGGTGCCTGTCTTCTTGGCTCTAACATTCTGGAACATGAAAAGCTTGCTTCAGGGATGTTAACTAGCCGCAAGCCACTTTAATCTCATTTACCAGGAGGCCATGGCAAATCACATATAACCAACATCATAGGAGAATAAGCTCCTGGACAAAGCTGAGAAGTGTGAGAAGAATCTCATCCTCTGGCCACCGGAATGAGGACATGAGCTGAGGTCAGTCCACCATTCCGAAACTCTGACCGGTCAGGCACTTTCCATGTTTCCCCAGCCAAAAGTGGACACCCAACTCCCAGAAATGGATTACAGAAGAAAATAGGATATTCTTCCCGTATCAACTTGTCTAAATTCCATTTTGAACTGAATGTAGCCTCCACCATGAAGCCCTTTTTGATCTTGAGTCATTTTAAATTATAACTCACATGACCTACTAATAATTCTTCTCTCCTTTCAGCCACTGCCAATGGCTCCCGGGATAGTTGCATCATTCTAGCTGGCCAATCAGAAATCTAGTGCAGTTTCCTCTTCCAGACGTTCCCTTCTCCTGGAAACATTGTGTATGCTTACATAAAGCTGTGGCCATGCGCTAGCCTGCACTTTGTCCTTTCCCAGTTCTTTCTAACCTGTGCCACACACTCACCAGTCACTCCCACGCTTCCAGTTATAGCCACTTACACCTGTACTCTCTGCTAGCACGCACCTCAAGCTGAGTTTCTGTCACTTATACCAAAGGAGTCCTGACTATCGCAGCAAATCAAATACTTAGATTGCTTTAGGTTTCTTCTAGCCTTAAACTTCCTCTTAGCCATTACTCTTGTACTTTTTTTTTTTTTAAAGATTTTATTTATTTATTACGTATACAGACTAGACAGTCTTCTGCCTGCGTGCCAGCAGAGGGCACAGGATCTCATTCAAGGTGGTTGTGAGCCACCATGTGGTTGCTGGGAATGGAACTCAGGACCTTTGGAAGAACAGTCAGTGTTCTTAACCACTGAGCCATCTCCCCAGTCCGTACTTTTTTCTTATTATTTATTTATTCACATATGCCTGTGTGTGTGTGTGTGTGTATGTATGTATGTATGTATGTATGTATGTATGTATGTATGTATGTATGTATGTATTTTGAGGCAGAGTCTTGTTCTGTAACCCAGGCTGGTCTCAGACTGGTGATCCTCCTGTCTCAGCTTCCCAAGAGCTGGAATCATAGGTGTGTGTCACTATGCTTTAGAAATGTTGTCTTCTGAAGTCCAAGCCACTATTCTTCCCTAGTTGGACACAAAGTTTCTACTCTCTTCCTCCTACTTCTTTCTGAGGCTGAGGCAACTTCAAGGCAGAGATATGAGCCAAGGAGCCAAGGTTTGTCTCTCGTGTTATTATGTTACTCATGGGTTCTTCATGGAAATCACATCATAACTTACTTCACAACATTTTTTTTTTTTAATTTCTCTGCTGTTAACCCAGCATCAGAGATACAGTGATCATTCCTGTTGTTCGCTTGTTTTTTTTTTTGGTTTTTTTGTTTGTTTGTTTGTTTGTTTTGCTTTTTATTATTGTTGTTTTTTTTTTTTTTTTTGGTTTTTTTGTTTGTTTGTTTGTTTTGCTTTTTATTATTGTTGGGTTTTTTTGTTGTTGTTTTGGAGGCAGGGTTTATGGCCCAGGGTGGCCTCAACCTGTCTTGTTTCAGTCTCCCAGTTACACGCATGAACCACCATGCATGGCTGCTACATAGCCTTAAATAAAAAGTCCCCTCAGCTGCTTCCCCCTCACGAATCCTTGTGAGTTTTGCTTTGCCTGTTTGTGTAGGAAGAGATGGGCCACTCACCCTCTCTGGTATCTATCCAGCTCGTGAAGCACTGTGTGGTCGCAGTACTCGAACACCAGGTGAAGCCTCCGCTTCCGCCGGAAGACCTCCAGGAGGTTGACGAGGTTGGGATGCTTCAGTTGCTGAAAGTATAAGAGGCAGGGCAGTAAATCTGAGCTGTGAGCATCTTTCTGTGAGTGCCAGGCAGGAAAAATCAAGCCGTTTCCCTTCAGGAGTTTCTTTCTGTGTGTGGAAGAAGACAGTAATCAGGATCACCATGGCTCTCTTCAAGAGCTGTTTCTCAGCGACTTAGAAGTGAAGTGTAATCAGGGCCCAGGTGGTTTGTGAAAGCAATAGATCTGAGAAGACTAGCTAAGCAAGAAAATGCTGGGGGCAGGGGGCTGGGGAGCGCTGAGGTAATACAAGCTCAGCCTTCGAGGCTCTAGTTAAATGTCCTCTCTCGAGAAGTTCTACCAGATTGCCTCTGCACCCCTGGGTCAGAATCCCCAGAGGGCTCATACTCTCATAGTACTAAGTAATTAGTACTAAGTACTATTATGTGATCAGTAACTATTTTCACTTAGTTTTTTAATGTTCTCTGGTTTCATGGATACCTATAGATAGAATAGATCAATCCAGTAGAAACCCCTTCCTTCCTTCCTTCCTTCCTTCCTTCCTTCCTTCCTTCCTTCTTTCCTTCCTGAAACAGGGTCTCTCTATTATGCATCTCTGATTTTTCTGGAACTCACTATATAGATCAGGCTGGCCTCCAACTCACAGAGATCCACTAGCCCAGCCTCCTGAGTGCCATGATTAAAGGTGTGGGCCAGCATGTCTGACACACAAATCTTTTTCTAAAGAAAAAAGAAATGTGTAACAACACTACCACACACACATGCACACATGTGCACACGTGGGCCCCCACGTACGCATGCATGCACACACACAAACACAGCCCCCCTCCTAGTCAATTTCCTTTTTGTAGTGCCCATTCTTGCTTTATGACCATTAGCTAACGTTAGTGTCTACTTGGTTTCTCTTGGAGGATGTCTAACAGTGTCACTTCATACCTCTTTTTCCAAATAATCTTTGATAGTTGTTACTTTTCTTGTCATTGTGGCGAAACACCTGAATTGTATTTAGAGCTCCTTGGGGAATCACAGATAAGCAGGAGGCCCTTTCTCCACCAGCTGCCAGCTGGCACCTGCTTGCCTAGGCACTCTTACTTCATTCAGCCTAGGGTTGAAGAGTTACAGGCAGCCTGCCATGTGACTGAGCTCACATACCGGAAAGAATTGTACACAAGGAGCGCAGTAAAGAAACTACTGAAATGGCCGCTCCATTAGAGGAAAGGTTTTTTTTTATTGGAGAGATAGAGATAGAGATCGATAGATAGATAGAGAGAGAGGGAGAGAGAGACACAGAGAGAGACAGAGACAGAGAGAGACACAGAGAGAGACAGAGAGAGAGAGAGAGAGAGAGAGAGAGAGAGAGAGAGAGAGCACATCCAGAGGCATCTGGAAGACTCCAGAGCAGAGAGAGAAAGAAATGACTGACATGGCCAGGACTAGGGAAGCCGGGATAGCAGAGATTAACAAGAGAGAATAGTGGAGATGGTGAGAAACCAAGATAGGCAGGAGGTGGGATTGTAGAGAACAGCAGGTTATAAGGAGGGTAAGCAGCTGAGGAGGGGAGCCCAGAGCTGGTGCTACCAGGGTGATAGTGTAGGCTTGGAGATACATAATGAGAACTTGTGAATAGGGACTGTAGGAGTCTGGAGGCCAGCATGGCCTTTAATATGCAACCACAAATATATGTCAATGGAGGGCTACATATCACTTTTGCCAGAGGCAAGGGAAATGACTCCCTTTGGCAGACGGGAAGGAAACCATTTTCATAAGCTGAGAATGCTGGCTTTTATCTAACCACCAGAAATCCTTCTATAGCCCAGCTTGAGCTAGGTCAAGACTGTCATTGTTGAACATATGCACTGCCTTTTGGAGTTTAGGGAGCTGGAGTTTCCTTTAGACCTGACAGGAATCTCCAGTCCCAGGATATACATTAGATAAAGCTTTGCAACCTGAACCAATAGGATGGGATTCTTCTGGGGAGAGGCAATGCTAGACCTTGGGAAGATTGCACCTCCCTGAAAAACTCAACCAATGAATTCAGCAGGCAGGGATGTGTGTGTGTGTGTGTGTGTGTGTGTGTGTGTGTGTGTGTGTGTGTGTGTATGTTTTGCCTGCATGTATATCTGTTTGCCAAGAGTGTGCCTGGTGCCTGGTCGAGGTCAAAAGAGAGTATCAGATCCCCTGGAACTGGAGTTACAGGTGGTTGTGAACTACTGTATGGGTGCTGGGAATCAAACTTTAGTCCTCTACAAGAACGGCCAGTACTCCTAACCACTGTGATACAGGATTTTTAAAACCACTGTTTTACACTAAATCCAAAGGCCACTCATTTTTTCCCTTTTCTCTGGGCTCGTGCTTAGCAAAGTTGTAAAATAAAATGATCTGTTTTCCAGACTCCAATATTCTTATTATAAAGTGAGGATCATTATTTCTCACACCCAATCCATCTCTAGAACTCTATCTGTTCTATGTGCAAAACTGGACCATTGTATCCATCAAAGAATATTCAACCCAACATGAGAAAGCAATAATTACTCCTGGTAATAATTACTCATATTGTACCCCTACCAAAACAAATAACCTCCTTCCCCTATGAACACTGGTAACAGACTGCTGGGCTATATCCAGAGAGGACTTTGCTCAGGCCATTTAAAGAAGTGAAAGAATGTGCGTTGAGGGTGAAGTTCACGGGCAATGGCCAGCCAGCTCTTCAGAACATGGGTCCTGCAGGGCCTGGTGGGCTAAACATTTACACTTTATCATAGGTGGTGCAATAGGAAGCCACAGGAAGGAAATGCAGCAAGCTGAGATAAATAGCCCTTGGGTTTGAGCACTATGGAAGTGGTATTTGGAATGGCTCAGAAGAGGCAAAAACAGACAAGAGGAGAGAGTGGCTTGGACCAGCACAGAGAGGACAGAGATGGCAGAAAGGCACTGTCTGGAAATATTTTTGTTACCAGAATAGTCAGAATGTGGCAATGCACTAGAGCTAAGAGACAAAGGAAGGGAAGACATCAAGAACGAACAAAGATTTGTTCAATGAGGGGATGCCAGCAGAGAGGAAGGGTGGGTCCACAAGGAAGAAGCTGCTCTTGTTGGTTCTTTGACTTCACAGGACTCCGAGAGTCCAAAGTATATGGGCTTGGTTTCCAGGAGCTAGAACAGGATAAAGCCAGAGAGTCCCCATATTCAGTGAAGAAGCTGTAGGAAGAGTTGGCTAATATAGGAAGAAGTCCAAAGACCCCGAACACTCATAGATGAGGAAGAGGCGGAGAGGAAAGCAGGTCCCCAGAGGCAAGAAAGATGAGAGCATGACACCATTGGCGCATACCATCGATAGAGAAGTGATCGTCAGTGATGGGGCTGCTGGAAGGCCCAGTAGGCAGTGAACTGAGGGGCACCCAGAGGACTTCTCATTTGGGGAGTTTTGTGGCCCACTGTGGTATCCCTGAAATGGATGGTGAACCAGCCTGTGGATTTGGCATCTCAAGCCACCTCCTTCCTCTATGTCCATAACTCACTGTCCTGGGCAGGGGTCAGGAGGACATCTTGGTCCTGAAGCTGGAAGCTGGTTCACAGTCTGTACTCTGGATTTCAACCACTGCTTCAGTAATCGTGGATGTTTGTCTATAAGGGCTCTCAGGTGTCCTTACCATGGCCCATGGACTGTGTGAGGCACAGGGTAGCTGTGAATGTAAACCAACACAAAAATCGGAAACATACTTAAACCATCATGGAATTTTTTCCCCCTTGTAACTCTGTTGTGCAGTTCTTGAGTGTGAACTTTGCAGATGCCAATACTTTGTCATGATGTCAGAAGGCTGGGCATGCCTGGGCCTTAGATATTTCCTCATTTGTACAGAAGGGACTTCTTGAGGGACATGTAAATGAATTAGATGACAAGAAACCAAATGTCACATACAGGAAACATGAATAGACAGAACAGACAAAATTACCATATATACTACAAAGGTGTTGTGGCTTGTTTCACCATAATTGCTCCTGGTTTATGAGGGGGTAAAGTCACAGCCTGAAGTCTGGTTTTATTTCTTGGCATTCTGTCTCATATTGGCCCAGTCTGGAAGGTCTCAGTAGCCCTTTCTAGGTCATTACCACTGTCTTCTGCTAAGCTCCCTTAAAAGCAACACCTGCTCAAGTTTGGAATTTGTCTCCCTTTTATTTTCTTCCTGTGGTGAATATAGACGTTTCCATTATGCTGCCAAGTGAAGTACTGTTTCTGGCATTAAAAAGAAAAACTTCCTTTAGAAAGATTTATTTCTTTTTATTTTATGTCTATGTGTGTTTTATCTGTATAGGCACAAATACATCTTGTACATACAGTGACTACAAAGGCCAGAAGGCAATGGATCTCCCAGAACTAAAGTTGCAGACAGTTGTGAAGCATACTGGGTCCTCTGCAAGAACAGCAAATGCTCTTAGCCACTGAGTCATTTCTTCATCCCCCAAGACTCTTGTTTAAGTTTTAGTCAAATTCATCCCCTCAGACGAATTTGATCTTGTCACCAGTTTGTTTTCCTATGAAGAGCAGAATGCCATACATCCTTCTTGGACAGCTCCCGTACCTCCACCAGCCCCATGTCTTCCCTGGCCTCCCACTTGTTGTGACGAGCTCAGGCCCTGCATCCCTGGAGGTGTACTGTTCAGCTTCCTTCCTCCCCAGCACTTTAGAGACGTTAACATTCATTGCCAACATGTAATGATCAGGAAATATTGCTTTAGAATCCTGATCCTGAGGCTGCTCTGGAAAATGTTCGCGATCTGGCAACTCCAGGCCCGTTATCTCTGTGGCCTTAAAGAGTTTGCTCTGAGAGTAATGGTTCACTTCAGAGGACCATGTGCTTTGGTTTGCTACTCTCCCCATCACTCCCTATTCCCCCTGTGACACCAAGGCCCAGTGAGAGAGCCCATCAGCATCACTCTCAGATTACCAACTCCAAATATTAGAGCAAGTGAAATATTCCATGTACCCATGTTTCTATTTAAAGTGGGAACACATACACCAATAGGGATGAAGGCACATTTCAAGACCTATAACAAAGTGAATTTATTCACTGAGATGAATCCATTCTCCAATACCTGCCTGGCCCCTGAAGGTACTGGCATAGTGATCTCTAGCGGGTCCTTAGTGGCCATGTATTTTTAGACTGACCAGTACACAGATCACTGTGTCTGTGGTCTCTCCTGTCCCTGTGGTCTGTGTTCTTTGTGGGGGAGTGAGGAGATGTTGACCCTGTGTCTGTATTTTAGGGAAACACAGTGGACCTTTTTCTCATAGACATTTTGGAGGGTGTCCTTCATCAGTTCCCATCCATCTAGAATGGAAATGGTGACATCTTTCCCCTTGCCCACAGCTTTAAAATGATCACTCCTGGGCCCTTCTCAAGGATTCCCAAACTGGCTTGCTGTATGTCTCTGGGGCTTGAGGCCCTGCTGCCTCCATGGGCTTCTCTCTTTCCCCGTTCTCCCGCCCCCAGGGGTACCTCCTAAAGTAAACACTAACACACAGTTCCACATCTTAGATTTTAACTTCTGGGGTAGAGGCATGCACTGTCTACATACAGGTGCTGGCATGAGAAGTGGGCCCAGCTCCATCTACAGAATGGAGCTCTAGATCTGGATCAATCACTAGTCAGATGGAACAAAGATCTCCTGAAGGTTGGGCAGGCTGGATGGAAGGCAGGTCCTATGCAGAACCAACACAAACATGAACACTTCTACTAGTGTTGGTTTTGGATGAGGTGCAGGTGGCTTGTGCAACAGCGGTAGCACAAGAGAAAAATGGGGAAGTGGAGATTATAAGGACTGTTGCATGATCTGGCTTTCATTAGCTCTTTTAAATCATTAAAAGAGAAAAGAGAAAATGACAGGTCAGGTTTAGTCACCAGACAGACTTCGGCTCAGCAATCAGAGGATTTGCCAACAGTAGTCTAAGGGACTTCTGTCTCCTATGGAGACAGGACCGACTGCTGAAAAGACTTCACCTTCAAAATACTGTGTTCCCAAAGGAGACAATATGTAGTCTCAAAGAGGTCCCCACACCACAGTCAGGGGTAGGGTCAGAAAAGAGAAGACCCTGAGATGTGGCCTAGTGATATTCAGGATGATGAGCCTGGAAACCCTAAACCCTAAAATTTCCCAAACCCCTGGGCTCGGAGTTTACATACTAGCAGAAACTGTTTCCACGGTCTGAAGACCACGTCCACTTCTCAGGTGCCTCTGTAGAGGATGCTCGTCCTCATTGTTCCTCCTGGCCAAAGGACCCGTAAGCACAATGAAGCCACACGAAGAAGGCAGCAAGGAGGAAGTAATTATCTTCAGAGACTGACAGGACCTGTCTCATCTGAGCCAGCAAGAGTCTTGAGGGACTTGGACCATGAGCACAGTGAAATGTAAAGCTGCATGGGCCAAGTTCATTGATGGGAGAGCCCTGACCTGTGGCTTGGGACTTAACTCTCCTAACAAGGGCGCTGGAGATAGTTTATGTTTCTGGTCATTGTCTAGAGGTTGGGCTTTCATCAGATAAGGCAGGCAGGCTGGAACTTCCTCAGCAGAGCATTGAGGAAGGGATGGGGCAAGCTGAGGAGATAGAGATTCTAGACTAGATTATTAGGTGGATCCGCAGAGCCCCTCCCTGCCATATCCCATTGTGTTTCCTTCGAAGGCCCAGCAAATACTTTCACTACTAGAGCACCACACACAGTAAAGATACTGTTGGTTTGGGCGTTCATACATGGCTGTTTTAGGTGGGCTGAGTGGAAAGGAAGGGCTGTCTTGTACTGAAGTTGCTACTGTGGGAATTAGTCTCTTGGCTCCCAGTGGGAACAAGATTCCACAGTGGCCAACACCTGGTATCCAGAGTGGCATATAATGACTGCAATGAGAAGCAAGGTCAGAATACCTTAATTTACTGAGCTCTGAGCTGACCCACATCATGCCATGCCATGGGGTCCTGATGGGGAGTGGAGCGAGGCTAATGTATTAATTGATTTGTATTAGTAGAAATAATTGACAGCTGACAAAGACAATCCTGGCTTTTAGGATGGAAAACTGAAGTTCTTCATTCAGCTTATAAACCAAAATAACTTTGAGGGAGAGCCCTGTGATGCCACCACAGGTATTCCTAAAGGAATCTGTGACCAATTCTGAGTAAACCCACAGTGTGATCAGGTCTAAGGTCTGAGCACTGATATCTCAGAGTCTATGTGTCTCAGAACCCCAGGTTAGAATCCTGACTCACAGAGGGCTGGACAGATCCATGGAGCCACATTTGAGACCATTCCCTCCACTCCCAAGTTCAAGTTTGGGGTAGATGCTTTTGGCAGTTGGCAAACATTAGCTTCATGACCTACACAGTAAGATAGGGACCAACTGAAGCCCTCAGAACTGCCTACCTTCTTCTCAGCACAACCCTGAATAAAACAATCAAAAGGAAAACTCCTTCCTGGGGAAACGAAAGGCAGGGCAGTCAGGCTAAGGAGTGTTCGTAGTTTTGCTGGAGGCCACACACAGGGACAGAATGTGCCAGGCTGCTTGTCTGACTGGACACCTGGCCTGAGATCTCTTCTGGAAACCCAGCAGGCCAGTGATGTATGTGTTGGATGACTGAGCTGTTTTATTGTAAAAAAAAAAAATACCATGAAAGAATTATTAGTACAACCATAGCCACGATGGAAAATAACGCTGAGCTGGCATGGATGAGGGCATCACGCACTGGCAGTTATGAAACAGGTTGTTTCTCACTGTGGTTGGTAACACTGTTGGTTTAGAAACTCCCACTTTTTATTCTTCCAGCAGATATGGAGACCAAGTTCAATGATTTTTGGAGACACAATTTTACCCACTGGTATTTTGACTAGAGGGCCCTTAAGGTTAATAAACAATAAAGAAGGGTAATAATTAACAAGAGAATATGCAGGCTAAAAGCAAATTTGCAAAATAAAACATTAATCCTGCCAAATGTACAACTGAATTAAAACATTTTAAAAGCCGAAGTGAAAGGCATGCCCCTGACCCAGTTTAAAAGAAAATTCCACTGTGCAGGAAAATTACTACCTTCAGGTGTGGTTTGGATACTTCATGAAATAAAATATCATATAGCACGTCTGGCTAGAATTCTTGTAGGTTAGAAATAAAAAATAATTTAAATGAGAAAGAAAGCAGTTAGAGAGTGTTTTAAAAATCAAGGTGAATTAATTGTACAACCACTCATTTTGAAAGCCTAACATTCTGCTATGCAACAAAGTGAGTATAGTTAATAACTATACAATAATATTAACTATTCAAAGTAATGCAAAGATGGGATTTTTTTAAATGTTTTCATCACAAAGACTTAATAGATATTTGGGGCCTAGGAAGATATTGCAGTTGGTAAGTGCTTCCCATGTAGGGGTAAAGATTGGAGCTGTCCCAAGAACCCCATAGAAAGATCATATATGGTAGCACCTGTGTATAGTCCGGGGAGGCAGACAAGAGACTAGACAGCCTCAGCTCATCAGCAAGTTCCAGGCCAATGAGAGAACTGGCCCCAAAATACAAGGTACCCACCTTGTGTTTATATCGATGATGTCTGACCATCAATACCCAAGTCTGTCCTCTGACCTCCACAGCATGTACACACCCATACAAACACACCTGCATACACACATACATGCCTACATACTCACAC